GCACAGTAGTCGCAGAGAGTTTCTCATATGATGGATGGGTATCAAATTATTAATACAGATGATTATTTGCCAGTAACATAAATTGGAACAAACGACGGCACGGGGAGCCCTGACGTTGTGACATAGCACATACATCACAGTCGGAATGTAATAAGAAATTCAGTGGTTTGACAAGGGCATCGTACTTCCTCATAGAAAGCTGTCCATGCATAAAATGATGCAAATCGCGCAATTGGTGCAGCTGACCACTGTCCAGTTATACAGATTCAATGCGGCAACTGCAGGACCGAGCGCTAACACCACCGTGCGGTGTGCGCGAGAACGGCTGCGCCAAAATGTCAGAGACCAGATGCAGGACGACAAGACTGATTTCATATGGATGTATGATGTGCGTTACTTCGGCATTGTTGACGAAACCGATTTACTTGAAATCCATGAGCAACGACTGGCATTGCATGTAGACTGATTGCAGCTATTTGCTATCCGTTTCTACTAAATTTAAATTTAGAGTCTGTAAAGCAAAACCGTTTCACCGTTCTCTGTTATTCGGTAAACCTTCTGGCTTTCAGGTTGTGTCCGTTGATCAGATTTAAGTAAGACATTTGTAAAAACCCAGTCTGCACAGAAATATGCAGAAATGAAAAGTGCAAAAAATTGAAAATTTCATGATCAGCTGAATGGTCATACTTCTGGAGTGAAAACGTTCATTTTGGACTCGCTTTGAGGTCTGGCGACCAAAGGAAGAGATAAGCGCAAGCGTGTAGTGATGGACAATAGTGGTGATGGCAAATGGATTGATTCGTGACGGCCGACGATAGAGTAGGATCGATAGAGTAGGCGGCGGTGGCAGTTGATGGGACGATCGGCAGCGCCTGTTCTCTACGTCATTCGTCATCATCGGCGGCGAACGGCACAGACGAAAGCAATGCTTTTAAAACCTCATCTTCGTCTACTTCGCCCAGTGCAGTGTTCAGTGATTGTTCACATCGACCGCTGCCTCGCTGGTGTGTACCTCCTCTGCGTTCCCGTTGTTGGTCATCATCGATGAGGGGACAATGGTTACTGTATCGAAGACGCCATCTGAACTGGACCTGCTTCTGAATGCTCTGGCCGGCCTGGCATCGACCCATGGTGAACCTCACATCTGTGAGGCGTACCGTTTGGCGATTGAAAACTCGACGTTGATCAGCGATATGCACGAGTTCGCCGAATGCTTGCATCAGAAATGGCTCACCGAGCGGCAGATGATCTCGCCGGCTGTTCAAATTTGCCGAGTGCTGGGCAACGTCGACACTGGAAGTGGGACCTTCAGCAACCTTGTATACTGTATCTTGATGAATGACTACAAAGATAGATACAAGTTGCGCAGGGTGTCACGTCATTTTTTCACCAACAGTGTTCAGTTCCTGTTCGAGTACTTTTATGCGAAATACAACAGTGCCAGCAGAAGCTTAAACCACGATCACCTCTCAGGTTGCGGTTCTGGTTCCAACTCGACCCTGTCTACCAAAGGCTCAAAGGACGACCGGTCAAAATCGCTGCAAGAGCTGTGTAAAGTTAGCAAGAAGGATACCAATTTCTACTTGAAGGGTTATTCGCTGATGGATGACCTCGTCAATCCAATGTACGATTACTTGAACATGCTCCTTGACGCAACTGCCACTGAAAGCGAGATAAAGACATTTCATTGCGTTATGTTTATGATGGGTAAGCAAATGATTATTAACATTTATTTAAACATTGGGCTCAGCAATGAACTAAAAAGTTTATTGATTTAAAAATACGTGTTTGTCAGCATGGGCTAGTGAAATAGTGTAAGGCTAATGTGACGGCCGGTTCTGCAGGTCTGTTTGTTGAGTACACATCGCATGTACCTCTATAATACAACCTCCACGGTAAATTTGCACACAAAATTATTTCATTAACCGAAGGAGGGGGTGGCACTTTTAAACTCTTCTTCGTCTGAAAAAAGAGCCAATCGATGCGGATTTGAAAAATTTTTTGAAATAATCACCATTACTTCCATAATCAAACTCCACCGTCGCCGGTCCCAAGCCAGGGTAAGACAGATGGATGGATGGGGGTCACAGCAAGGTTTCCCGTGAAATGGGATTACCTGTACCTCGTGGTATTGTCCTTATCAAACGCTATGCCGGTTAATATGTCGAATGGATTACTAAGAGTAGAGTAGGCTGTTGGGGAACTTAGGCAAACGGCGAGAAGTCAGCGATCAGAACACTTCTTTGCACTATTTGCATGCCGGGAGCATCGCAACACCGCCATGGGCTGTTAAAGATACAAATCTGCGACGGGGCGATTAGAGATTCTGAACGGATGAGGCAGATAGCGCCAATCCATTATGACATGCCAGAAGAAGTTGCAAATGTATGATACTGACAATGGGTATGCACAGTCGGAAATTGGAACATCTCCTCCCTCAGAGCGAAAGAACGGCAGCTAGTTAATGAGGTTCAAAGGTACCGACTGGTCTCTCGCCATTGCTGTAGGATTCTGGAACTACTCCATCAAAGTGTCGACACCTCGACCCACGTTTAGGCCGTTGTTAGTGTTCTGGCAGTAAATCATCAGGCTGGCAGAACTACTGAAATGAAGCCTTGCAGAGGAAGAGTGGCAAACCTCAGACTGAGCATACAAAGGATTAGAGCTTTCAATTTGTTACTGGTCTATGGCTAAATTCCGATAAAGAATACGAGTACTTCCTGCAAAAAGTAAAAGGTACTTTGTAATAAGTGCTGAGTAAAGAATTCATCACTCCGATAAGCGATCTAAGCACATATCAGAACAGTCCCTAAATTATGGAAAGCGTGGCCCTGCGACCTTAGCCGTACGGCATGAAGCTGCTGCGCCTTGTGCAGTAAACAGACTGTCTGTTATGAACATCTTTTTCGAGCATCAAAACGTGCATCAGTACAACTGGTATATGGAAGCTTGTGCGCTGACTTCGGTGATCGATTTGATAATCGTTTCGTCCGACATACGGCAGTTGATCATGATTAATCGAGATTAAAGAAGGTCAGAGCTGTCAATGATCACCTTATTGCTTCAGCCCTCCGCAGCAAATGATGGAGTGCCATGCGAAGACTTGAAGAAGCGGCAGAAGCAACCAGAAAATCAAATGCAAAACATGATTTTCTGTGAATTCGAGGGCGAAATTTAGAAACAACTTCGTACGAGAGTTTTAACAGATCCAGACGAGACAACCTAGAGGAAGCTAGTCTTGAGAGTAGCTTATTCAGAGCGTTGAATGTTACCCTTTAGAACGGGTTCATCCGTTGCCTGAGGGCCAGAAACTCACTTCATAATAGACGTGAGAGGTTCAACTAGCGGTCAGTTCGAAGATAGCTGCATTCGATAAGTGGCTTGGATACAAAGGGTCTTCAACTCGAATGCAGTACAACGAAGAGCGCAGGGAAGCAGTGACAGGCATGACCAAAGCGAGAGCTGCAGAAAAGTTCGGTGCGCCGATGGAATCGAATTTTCAGTGGCAGACAAGGTATTCTGGCAGTCCATCCGCCACCTCCGCGATGAACAGAAGAGCAGTCTCAGAGTCATGAGTAATGAGGAACAAGTCCGGTCGCCTTATTACCAAGGATGAAGATATACCTTGGCTATTGCGAAAGTACCGTGAGAAATGACTCGTCTGAAGAGCAGCAGGGAACGAATACGATTGTTTGAGTAGGCGAACTCAGAGAAGCTGCTAGAAGCGTGAAAAGCAGCAAAACTGTTGGAATCAATGAAATCAATGCCTAAAGTTTTTGAGGAATAAGGCACATTGCGATGAACATGCATTGTCAAACTGCAATGGCTTCGAAGAAGACACCAGTGAACTATAGTGTTGGTACTTCTGTTTAAGAATGGAGACCACAGGGGCTGCTAAAATTATCGGAGCGCAATCTTATTGAACATCCCGGAAAAGGCTATGCAAAGGTGTTGGATAGGAGTTGATGCGGAATAGTGTACTGTAAGATCCAAAAAAGGAGCGCGTTTTCAGTTGATCAGAACTGTGATAACAAGGACTGGGCTTAACCATCTTTTGTGGTCACGGAACGGGAATTCGAGGGGTTGTGGTGCTTGAAATTGAAAAGAAAGTTGAAAAGCGGAGCATGGAGTACTGTTAAATCGCTACTGCAGGGATTAAGCTTCAGAATTGCAGGCGGTAACATAATGCTATGCCGCAGTACTGCCTAGGATGGCAGATAATGACCTCCCTCCATAAAAAAATCTAGGGTAACTGTCTAGTGATTTCAAACTCTTGCTGCATTATGTTTCCTCTACTGCAACATTTTAATTTGCACAGTAATAATCAGCACCTCACGGTCATCTAAGATCAGAAACAAAATGATTTGTACTCTTCTTTGATATTCTAATGCTGCAGTTCGGGCAGATTGTTTACATGCTCCGTTCGTAGAAAGTCCTAATACTTAAATAAATAATTTCCAAGACTCACACCGATATCGTACCGCAAATGACTTAAAGGTGGCAGGTCTTCCGATTCGACGGCTGGCAGCATTATAAATAAAAAAAGATAGTTTATTAAAAGAGTTCGAAAATTCGACCAAATTTGCATTAGTTTTAACAAAAAATCCTGGTGGCTCAAGCCAATCCAGTGAAAACATTAAAAATTTTATAATGAAACGTTTTGCCAAATATCTGCCTGCCCAGAGTCGAAACTGGCGCTTCACCGCACCAATCAATGGTGCATAGTAAATCTGTTAGAGCTACCTTCGTTATAATTCTTCCTGCTAGTCATGTTGAATATTCGTTTCGTAACAACCGCTGAGTAAACATCTCCTTCGATTAAAGTCTGCGCTTGTAAGACTTTTCGGTTGTGGCAGGTTGAATGAAACTCAATGACTCACGCAAAAGGCCGGATGAAAAGTCTGAAGATCAGTTTCACAGACCTCAGAAATCTAAAAATTCTTAATGGTAGGAACAAATGGGTCGAAAGTCATTGTTTCTTCGATTCAGCATGACGGAGGCAACAAAAATAGGGAGCTCTAGGAACAAGTTGAAACGGCTGATATATCCTTTCTTCTTCCCTCCTAGTATCTATTCGACAGATCGTTTTAAATGAAATAACTGACCGCTGGTAGTTATGGAAACTGTCTCACAGACCGCAAGGTGGTCTTAAAAATTAATATAGGTTGGTTCCACTAAATTCGTCCTTTCGATCAGAACGAAACTATGTTCATAATGTGAATCCACACGTAAAAAGGTTTATAATTTGAAGGTCGATATATCTCACATGCAGTGAGCTCAAATCGACGGCACAAAGAATTCGATCATCACAATGTACGATATCTTTCCCAGTTTCTCAGCACCGTTCAGTAAAAATCGACTTCCCTCTTGCGGGCGCAGTCGTTATCAACTTCTGTTATTGCGCAGGATTCCACGAACACCACGCTGGACTGGAATTCTTAAGTTATGAATCAGCCGAGACTCGTGACTCCGAACGACAGGCGACTTAAATTATCCCGGCTCTGTTTGAAATCAGAAAATTGTGACATGCCTCCTGGATATGGATGGCCGTAAAATTGATGAACCTCGGGAAACTCTGGCGCAAACTCATATTGATTTCTGTTTGAAAAATGGTGAAGTGGCCAAGTGACTTCTGTGGAAATGAAGGCCAAGTTACAGATTCAGTCCTTTGCTAAAAATTGCTGGGGAAACCATTTTCTTACTGCTTTACACGAAATATGTGGTAATGTTTTTGAACCGTGTTTTGTGTCTGCGATTCCAGTTGTTCATCTAAGAGCTTTTCGTATTTAGGACCTCTTTTGGAAGAGCTTCAGCCCCAGCGAATGCACGAACTGGCACTGAACCTGCGGTCGTCGATAATAGAGAACCCTCATAAGTCTACTGAGAAAGCGATGCTAATAGAACTTCTCGAAATCCTCAATCAACGGTGGAAGGAGAACGAAATTTCAGCAGACGTGCGTGCACTTTATGATAAGTACCGATCGATAAGCTATGGGTTAAACAAGAAGGTTCAAAACGAGCAAGAGTTGGACACAGCTGACGAAGAGCGAATGTCAGGGTAGTAGAATGCAGAATTTTCAAAATCTATTTCTATTTATGAATTATGTATTTTTCAACAAATGGTCCGTCTACAAATGACTTTAAGTGTAAACCATAGTCTAATTATATGGAAGTAAGACTTTGTTTAGTGATTGAAAATTCCCTTTGCTTAAGCTTGTCAAGTACTTAAAGAAAAAATTCAGTTGTACGTTCGATGCATTAAGGTCTATCATGAAGGAATGGCGATAAGAAGACACCTGATTAGTATAACACATAATCATATAGTATTGTTTGTCCTGAGGATGGCCCATGTAGTTCGGCAGAAACGATGAAAGTTACGTACTGAATTTTACAATCTGCATATTCCGTGTGCCCAGAGTCATTAAAGTGGCATTTTTAAATTAAAACATTTCGACAAGTATATGACAAATAATGTATGCCATCTACTCAGAAGGATCATGACAAAAATTAGTTAAATACAACTCTACCATTACCGGTTCCATGACCGAATAAGAAACGAGGAGGATTTGGGAATGTGCGAACTCTTCCGTAAGAGGTTGCCACAGGCCGTCACGGTTTCGAACGTTATACCTCGTCGTTCGTAGTCAGGACTACCAAGGGCAGCGCAAGCTGATGCGGAACTGAGGCAGACCGTGAAAGTAGGCGATCAGAACCTACTTCTGGCTTTCTGGCAACCGAAGTTTTAGCACTACTGTGACGGCTGCCGACGATCGACAAGAACAGGGTACTAAACATAGGAGGAAGACAGCTCAATGTCATTATAACACGTCTGATGAAGTTTTGCGGGAACAATGCAGAGAGGGACAGCTAACAGTTGGAAAATGGAACATCTCTTAAATCAGAAGGAAAAAGAAGAAGCTACATGAACCTCTGCGGATGGAGAGGTTATTCTACTCAGGTGTCGGCTGTACGACTGACCATCAAACCGGTATCGATTTTCTGGTACAGCTCAACCTGGCGGACAGAATCATCGAAAGGAAGCCTGTCAACAGAGGATGGCACAATTTCTACTGAGGTTTCAGGCTGTCATTGACGCAATTGAGATAAATTAAATTCAGTGAGATTATATAAATTCTTCCTGGAGAAATTAAAGGTACTCTGTGAGAAACACTGATTAGGCAGTTCAACATTTTCATCGGTGATTCAATGCACATGCCAAACCAGACACCAAATGGTGACAACCCGTGATTGGGAAGAACGGCCCTAGCGACCTCAACAATTACTTTAAGAAGTTGTTGCAGTTTTGTGCCATCAACGGACTGTCTGTTATGGATACCTTTTTGGAGCATCGAAGCATGTATCAGTATATCTGGTACGGGAAATCTGGTACACAGAAGAAGATAATCGATTTGATAATCATATCGTCTGATTTATGACGCTTTGTAATGGATGTTCGCATTAAGGGAGGCAAAGAGTTGTGAATTGATCATCACCCTGCTGTTGGAACCCGCTGCTGCAAGCGGCTGAGTGCCATGCGAAGACTTAGCGGCGGATGGAAGAAGATCAAATGGGAAAGGTTTTCTTCTGTGAATACGATGCCGTAACTTGATGCGATTGCACGACTGTTTCTACAGATCCCAGTGATGACGGCTGACGTCATTTACGTATAGCTCGTTTGGGGCAGCCGCCTATTGCTGTGTTGTGGCTTAAAACGTTTTACCTACTGTCCGGGGGTCAGAAGCGAACTTTCTTATTGGTACCAGAGTTTCACGTAACTATCATTGATAAGAACGCTGCATTCAAAAGTTGACTTGGAAGCAAAGAACCTTCAACTCGAAGGCGGTATGAAGAAGCAGACAGGTTGGCAGCAAAAATAGTTACTAAAGCAAAATCTGATTCGTAGGAAAGTTTCTGTGAAGTGTTGAGTCGAATTTCCAAACGATAGAAAAGATATTCTGGCAGACCATCTGCACCTGCTAGATGGGAAAAATGGTAGTCTGACGGTTCTGAAGGACAGGTGTGGATGCCTTTTTTGCTAAGGAAGAGGATATACTTCAGCGAAGACAAGAGTACATTGACGAACGTCTCAACCCTGCGCAGCTGCATGAAGATTTGCCTGAGCAGCAGGACGCGGCAGCTGATATTAATCTTTCAGTACACGAAGTCACAGAAGCTGTAGAAAGCTTGAAAAGCAGCAAGCCTCTGGAAACGATGAAACCCGTCCAGAGGTGCTCAAAGTAAGGGGCGATCAAGGTACGCTGGAGTTAACACGTTTCTGCATAGCGGCAGTGGCGGCGGGGAAGGTACCGTTGTATTGGATGGTGGAGTAGTTATACCCTGTTTAAGAAGGAAGACCATTGTGACTGCTGCAGTTATCGGGCATTACTTGCCTGAGCTTTCTGGGAAAAGTCTGTGCAAAAATGTTGGAAGAGAGGTACCGTGTAATGGTTGACTCTAATATTGAACAATAGCAGTGTGGCTTCAGATCAAGCTGAGGCATGTCTTAGCAGACCTTTGTCTTACGGCAGATTATTGCCAAATGATCGGTTTACATATGCTTCGTTGAACATGGAGAAAGCCTATGACCAGATCCCGTGCAGCAAGTTGTGAACATGCCTGCAAACGTATTGGAGATTTCCTACGAGCTATCCAGTCACTACATGTTGGTGGCAGCAGCAGCATCAAAGTGAGTGACGTTAAGTCTTAAGTCGAGACCTTTGAGCGTTGGCACTGATCTCCGCCATGGCTGCGTCCTGTCCTTTATCCTGTTTGTGTTGTACATGGATAGAATGGTCAGGAGCTGCCAAGGCGATGAGTGCATCGGTATAAGAAATATGACGACGAGAAGGTTGCTGTTTGCAGACGACCTTGTTTTATTGGCATCTTCTGAAATTGATCTACAGTGCTCCCTAGAAAAGGCGAGTTTGACATGACCGGCATGCGTGTGAACGCATCTAAAACGAAATGCCTAGTGCTTTCTCGTTCTTGTGCCCGTTGCTCTCTTCAGAATAACGGAGAGGTAGTGAAGCAGTTGGAGAAGTTCAATTACCTCGGAGTCTTATTTACTAGTGATGAAAAATTTGAGGAAGAGGTAGACCAGCGAATTGGAATTGCCAACGATACTTCGCTTGAACTATCCGGAGTGCTCTGACTAAAGTAATGCTTAGCCTGGTGACGAAGCTGTATTCAAATTTAATTTCATCCTCATGCTCATCTGTGATCATAGGTCACTGGACTTGAAAGAAAATTTTCGATCTCATGTTCAAGCGGCTGAAATTGGCTTTTTGAGTCGCTCGACTCACCGTTCTTGGCGTGGGGCGGAGTTCAGATACGCCACAGTGCCTTTATGCTCGGTCGCTGTTTCTGCAGAAGCTGCGGCTGCGATTTATTGACCATGTCCTTCGAATGCTTCCAGGAAGATAGGCAAACAGTTACTACTTGCCAAATGGACTGGCGGAAGACCCTGATTACGGCCAAGTAGAAACTGTTTAAGTGTCTCCAAGGACTGTGCTCGAAACTCCGGTCATCTTCTGAGGAAGCTCAAATTCTTGCATAGGATTGAGAACGTTGGAAACACTGTCTGAAGCATCTTTCTATACGATTGAAAGGACATGCGGCCATTGTAAATGAATTTGAATGTATTAATGAGGGCTGCATTAGTAAAATAATAATTCAGTATTTCGGTATAAGGCATTGGTAGTTGATATTCGTAGTTGATCAAGATTCAGTAGATTAAAGAATGCTGCTTTCTTTCTAATTCTTTACATCGTCCATCAGGTGTCGCCCATATTCTCCGTTTCTCTTGACCAAGAGTTGTCGCTCTATACATTGCAAAAAGATGCTTTTATCGATTATTTTATGCACAGCGATCTCGAGTCTTTTTTTCTTGGTTAGAAATAATTGTTTTTCTCTCAAGCAGGACTGATGCAAAGGCTTTAACAGCTCTTTCAGTCCGGATGCCATTTTTGTTAACCCACATCTTTGGATTCATAGCAAGCTTGTATGGCTACCGTAGATGTGTGGTGAATCCATTAATTAATGTTTCGTTCAGTCATGCGATCCATTTCTACGGGAGCTGCCCGCTCTTTGCAACTGGGATGTCGAGATTCAATGAAGAAAGATTTTCAAGTTCAAACTGACCACACTT